TTTGAAGCTCGGCGAGTTTCAGGAGGTCGATTCCTTGGAAACTGTTCGAAGAAGTTATTTGAGACAAGGCGTCTGCGACTGCATTGCTTGCTCCAGAAATATGTTGAATATCTGAAGTAAACTGCGAAATGTAGTCCAGTTGTCGAGACTCAAGGGGAGAGTACTTCTCTCAAAGAGAGCTTAGGGAGAAAGTGAGCGGTTTATGGTCCGTGAAAAGAGTGAATTCACGGCCTTCGATATAGTGTTGGAAATGCCGTACAACACAATACATAGCTAGGAGTTCCTTACCGAATGTGCTGTACCTCGATTCGGTGTCTAGCAACCGTCTAAAGAAAAATGCTAAAGGTTGCCAGAAGTTGTTAACCCATTGTTGTAAGACTCCTCTGTTTGCTGAGTCGGATTCGTCTACGGTGATACTGATGGGTGTTTCAGTGTCTGATGAGCAAGCATTGTTGCCTGAGCAATAAGTTTCTTTACTGTGGACAATGCTTTTCGTGCGGTGTCTTCCAGATTGATGGATTTCGCATTTCCACGAAGTTGGTCGGTAAGAAGTTTCATGAGTAATGCCCATTTAGGTGTGAATCGTCTATACAAATTTACGAGGCTGTTAAACGTTTGGAATTGCTTGATCATGGTCGGTTCTGGGTAATCCAGAATTGCCGTCACTTTAGTTTTAAGGGGTCGGATGCCTTGTGCATCTGTAGTGTGTCCTAGGAAGTTTATTGAGTCAGTTTCGACTTGTCATTTCTGGATGTTTACAGTAATGCCATGTTTTTGAAGTCGTTCGAAAACAAGATCCAGATGCTTGAGATGTGTTTCTCTGTCCGGACGTGCGATTAGACAGTCATCAACATACGCGTGTACGAAGTTGAGACCTCGAAAAACGTCGTCTATAAACCTTTGGAATGTTTGAGCAGCGTTTCTTAAACCGAAAGGCATTCGCAAAAATTCGTAAAGTCCGAAAGGAGTTATGATAGCTGTTTTCGATATGTCGTCAGTAGCCATAGGGATTTGGTTATACGCTTTAACCAAGTCGATTTTCGAAAAGACAGTTGTACCTTTCAAGGTAGCTGTCAAATCGTGAATGTGAGGCACCGTGTAACGATCGAGAATGGTTTTCGAATTCATTCACTGATAGCGACCAGTTGGACACCAATCGTTGCTATCCTCTTTAGGGACCATGTGCGACAGACATGCCCATGGGCTGTTTGACGGTCGTATGATTCCTAAGTCTATCATGTGGTCGAACTCGTTCTTCGCCAATCTTATCTTTTCAGGGGCTAGTCGTCGTGCTTGAGAGAATAGTCGTGATGTGATGTGTAACGTTGCTGGTTACACACGGTAGTTTCGGTTGAGTTTGTTGTATCCCCGGGTACTTATCGAGTAGTGGTTGATAAAAAGGGTCTGTCGTATGTCTAATTGTGACTGGGGATAATCTGCAACCAGAAAAAGAAGTTATGCAAAAGGATAAATTAGTGTTTCCGTCTACTAGCCTCCGTTTACGCGTATCGATGATTAGATTATGGTGTTGTAGAAGGTCCATACCAATGATTGGCATAGAAACATCTGCAACAACGAAGATCCAGTGAATGGGACTGCGTAAGCCCACGTTAAGGTAAACGTACCTTTGGCCATACGTTGCGATAGGTTTGTAACAGCTCAGGTTGGTTGGTTAAGAGTTGACCCCAAACAACCAAGCTTATGCCAAAACAGTATTGTTCAAGTATTCATTCACTTCCTTATTTTTTATAAGCGTTATATTCCCTATTATCTCGAATGTTGAGAGCCTTTGTTTGTCTGGACAGATAATCCCACGCTCCACTGTGACTGCGCGAAGATCGAAATAAAGACCTATTCACTACTTGTCTGGTTTCTTCTATCAATAGCACGAGGGTTACTTTAAGGCACGAAAGGTTTGCCGCCTGTAAGTTTAGGGTCGATTCGTGTAGTCGGTCGTCAGGATTTGCTGGGAGAACGCTAACTTCTGCGCCAGTGTCGACGAGGTAGCGAACTCTCGTTGTCACATCTGTGACGAATAACAGACGGCTTTGTTCGCCGGCTACGGTTGCCGTTAACGCGTGCCGGCTTGGAAGTTTCCCGAATTGCTTTTCGAATCAGTCGGTTTCGTGTTGGGAAAATTGCAGGGTTTTCTGCAATTTCTGGAGAACTTTCCATACTGGTTATGATACCAGCACCAGTCGGGGTTATCTGTCTCTCGTGGTCTAGAGACAGATCGCTTACGAGAAATGCTTCTACGTGGTGTGTGTGATCGCTTACGGTCGTTACGAAAATTAAGTTAACGCATAAGTGTATGACATAACTCTGTTATATCATTCTGGGACGTTTGAGGCTTTTCTTTGACTGAAAAAACCTCGGTAGTAGAAGATTTTATGATTTGATAGGCTATCAATATATCGGGATCGTCTGATCTAATCTGACTAGCGATTGCACGGCTTGTTGAGCACGGTGTTCCCACTCGTGACCTGAAGCGGATGCCTGACCGAGCGCCTTCAGCTAGGTGAGTCCATTAAAACATATGGTCAGCATTCGATGTCGAAAACTTACAGAGCCAGTGATTTTGGGGATTTACTTACCGCTACACAGCTATGAATTACGTTGTTGGTCAAACTCCGAATACCTATGGCATCTTCAGAGTTAAGAAATTTCAGTTTAATTACGTCTATCTCAGCATATCTTGAATGACCGCTTGCTTGCTTTGTTTTGTTTGATATGCCTGAAATGCTAGATGACCCAGTTACTGGTCACAGAACTTATTGCTGCATGATGAACAACCACTTTGTGCCACATGTTCCTGAACACCACTATACAGAATGATTCCAAAATTTGGAGTGAGTTACAAGATACCATTCCTTATCGTGGGATCGCACAAAAATGTGAATATAATTTAGGATTGCAGTATCACAAAACACCTACCTCTCGGTACCAGAAAATAGAGGATGCTAATGGGGAATGTTATTGAAGCATTCATCATGTACTTTCTAAGTGATTTAAGTATTACACCTATCACCACAGAAAAGAATGTAGGCGTAATTTTACGTGATACTCGATATATCATTTTATTCCAAGAAGAATCCAACTTATGTAATTGACTGTTAATCATTATTGTGAATATCATAATTTTAGCTAGATTTTGAATAAGTTCGTTTTTACTCAGACCTTTTTCTTGTTTGTTTATTACTTATACCCTGAACATTTTCAGTCTCACAAAGTTCTTATTTGGCATTACGAAAATTTTGCCCCAGAAACCTAAATTTTGAAAACTTCTTTTAAAATTTGTTATGATTATTGTTGAACGAAACATCTGGATTGACAGCTCGTAATTTACTAACAAATGTCTGATATCATAGTCGAAATTCGGCTTTCTTGCTACTTGAGTCATATGTTGAGAGTATGTCAATCAATCGTGCTTCGAGAATTAACCGGAAAAAGATCTTTAACGTGATGCTCCTTCTTTGACAATAAATAATACAGTGTTTTGAGTTTTTCCTGAATTTTGTATACCCTGAACTCGTAAGCATGTTGAAACGTTAATTGTTCGCTTGTGTTCATTTTACCTATCTACGTTTTGAATGGTATCGCTTTCTTCTACAAATCCATAGCAATGTAACATCAGTGAACTCCAATTAAAAGGCAAAACCTAGGTATCAAATCTTATACTGTTCAGGATAGAAGGAACAACCGCGTGACGGCGGTTATAAGAATCGAAATACGGGCTGCGTAGTGAGAATTTATTTACAATATTCGTTTGTACGTCCCATGTTTATCCTTCCAATAACGATCGAGGGAATCAGCATAGTCATCAGATGAACCAAGAGTGGTAAATCAGTACGACCTGACAAAGTAACGGCCGAAGCACTGAGTCACACATAGAAGTGATTGCAAACATGTTCTACGTTCTATTCAGAAAGATTTAGGAATGAAAAGTGCCACTAATAGACTGGAAATAAGGATATCTCACCAAGATACCAAAGAAAAGACATTTGAGCGGATGTGAGAACTAAAGAGGCACCATACGTTCAGCGGTCAATTAGGTTTGCCTCTTCTAGCTTCACATGAAGCACAGAGCAGTATCGTGTAGACGAATGTGTAGGGTCGCCTGAAGATTCATCAGTCCGTGTTGGTCTTCATTTATCAATAACTATTTAGTCCCTTATGATCAGTCCTCTGAGTTTGGGATGTCTGAGAAAATGAACTTTCCGTCACCGGTTTACCTCTATTTCACTAACCAGATAGGAATTCTGTCCTCGATAATTTAGTATGTCTTCTAACTAACCTCTGTTTGCTTGAGTCAAATAGTAGGTTATGGTGTTTTACGCTAATGATTTGCATTGGGTTTGCGTAAACCCACGTTAAGGCAGACATACTTTTAACCTTAATAAGCGACCGGCTTCCCGATTGCCAAACGCAGTCATACCAGGAGTCAGAAATGGAATGTGAAGATATATTTAGGAGATAGTTGATGTATCAAGAAGTATATAGGCTAAGGTGACTATTTGCTTTGGGAGATTTGCAGCACAGCGAATCTAGATGTCACCTAGTGCTGACCCTTGACTGGGAGCATTCAGTGAACGTTCAATGAGACCAACGGTTTAAACATCAATGTCGAAGACATTCTTGATGGACTGAAGATTTCACACCTTATGACAAACGTCGGGTCAGGTATGTCTGGACCACTAATACAAAACAGATAATGTCAAGTGATCCCTCAATATAATTATCGTCTCGACAGCTCAGTACATGAAAATCATTGCTGTTACAGTGGAGTCCTGATACACACAGTAAATTGCTGAAAGTGTAAACACTGGGGAGTAGTTTCAAATATACATCGTAATCCAACATTAACTGAGCATTAGCCTCCAATAATTCCAGAAGATTTGGTAATGAGAGTAGTGAAAGCCTATTGTAGTTTATTGTAATGACATATTGGAGTAAAAATACCGCAGATTATTCAGTTACAGTGTTGAACAGAAAGACTATTTAGTGAAGATATATGTTTATTGAAAAATATATATTAGTAAATAGATATAATAGTAAGGCGAAATTTACATGGTCAGAAATGAACGTAAAATTCATATACAAAAAACAAATACTAGGTACAGTGTGTTAAACAGACAAACTGCCTTCTCGAAAGCTACTTGCGGAGATAAGACAATTTACAACAGATGGTATCCCTTTATTTGAAAGTCGTTTAGCCTCATCAAATATATGAACTATTTGTTCCAACTGAGGTTTGTCAACTAAGAAACCATTAACCGGATTGCTATTATTAGTTATGAAATTATCTGATACAGGAGCAACACTTCTACAGTAAGCTGATCCAATTACTTCATATGGTGTGTAGTTTAACTGGCATCCAACTTTGGATCGGAAAAACGTAACTTGGTCACGTGCAATCTGTGACCAACAAGCGTCATTACCAATAACAGCAATTGCAGGAGCATGATGACGTGCTAAAGAATCCCATTCAACTAAACTATATCCTGCTGAACCATCACCATAAATAACCCAGACAGTAGCCTATATGGGAAAAAAGTAAATAAAAATTGAGTTTTTGACGATGAACAACTATTAAAAACCGAATTACAAACTGTTGAGTTATTATTCGAACATGGGAAAATTAAGATGGGCATAATTATAAAGTGATTGGTGAGTCCTTAGGTTATGAAGCAAGGATATAATAAATCATATTTCAGCTTGTTTTGTAGCATTTTCTAATTTTTGCTGTGGTAGATTTCGTTGTAGAAGATTTACTTGAAAAGATCTATGGGATGGGGAGGTGGGAGAGAGTCTTCACTCAACTCATGCCGCTCATCTGTGCACATGAAAATTCATTGATGCTCTAAAAAAAGAACAGTCATAATGAACTAAAAATAAAGTGATGTTTCGAAAATTCAGAAGCAATATCGAAAAAGTAAAATACAGGAAGGTAGACATACGTACCAAACTAGTTGTACAAAGTGGAAACATATATATACTAGACTATTAACGCGGAATACCACATAGTTTAAGCTCGTACACTAAGCTACATCAAACTATTATAAAATTCGATTTACATCTATACGACGTCATCACAGAACATTTTTGAAGCTTGTTCTTGAGTTGTTATATTTTTTCAGTTAATGTATTAGGAGTTAATTTTATTATATTATTGAAGAGCCATTTTAATGCCTCTTCTTATTAGACTCGCCTATATTAATGCGTTTTTATAAATATGGACCCATTGACAAGATCATTTTTGACTTTGCTTTTATTGAAGGATACTACGGCAACAGACACCATTAGTTGTAGACATTCCATCAAGAATCGTTGTTATATCCTTGAACGGTGAATCAATTAGTCATAACTAACACAATTTCTCTTCTGGTAGATAATCAGCATAAACATCTCACTTTTATACATCAGTTTACGTTAAAGCGGAATTTCGCTTCCAATTCATTATCGTCTTTTTCTTTGTTTGTTTTCGGGATATAGTTATCGAGGCATATGATTACCGGAATTTTCCGATTCTGTCGTATATAAAATATTTTCAAATGTTTATAATCATAATGATCAACTTCTTACAAGCAACTTAACTCAAGTAGTTGACAGTTAAAAGTCAAAAATTTCAAGTCGTCATACTGTACAACTGAAATACTTAACAGAAAAACGAAGAAAAGAAGAATAAAGAAACCAACATCATCAACAAGAAGAAATGGATTTATCGTTGAAAGTTGTATGGAATATCTGCGATTTTTATTGAAACTTCTAGAAATAGTTCTTCAAGAGGAAGTATAAATATTCATTTTAAAGATGATCATTTTAGTTGGTTAATTAAAATCTCTACAATATGCTGAACTGACCCGTTAATAAGAGAAACAAAATCCGTAAGAATAAAACCAATAAAAAAAAAAGAATTTTATTCTAAAGCTGAAAGAAATAATCTTATAACTCAGTAAAACTCTAAAAATGTGTTTGGAATATAGGAGAAATGCAGCTGTCACATGTTTAAACCCAAATTACCTAATTTGTTTCATTTATATATAATCCCTAATAAATAATTTGTAGAAACTTACATTTGGGCGGCATAGTTTAGCACCTAATGCGAATCCTCCACCAACACCTAACGTCCCAAATGGTCCTGGATCTAACCAAGATAACGGTTTTCTTGGACGTACAATATATGCTGCCGATCCTACAAAATCTCCACCATCAGCAATAATAATACTATCTTCGGAAGAATCAGTTGGTAGACCATAATGTTCCAACTTCCAGAGAACGGAAAGTGGATTGTTATGCTCAATACCTTCTACTTGACAGCTTAGTCTGAAAGGAAAACATAAAAGATATGATGAATACTGAGATTACCATTGATTATCTTGAAGCTTAGAACAAACAAACAGAATGTTAAAACAATTCAAATCAACAATACGACTGAAGTTTTTTTCTAAATGACGGGATTTTTGACTAGAATATACGAATTTTCGAGATTTTTTCGAATGTATTAAACCTGATGGACATGAAAATATGATCAGCTAACTTGATTAATGAAATTCAACAATTGGATTTTTTTCATGAACCGATTAAGAATATGAACTTATGGAAGTACGAAAGCCAAAAAAGTTGTGGTCCATTATTTAGACGTCGATAAGATCGGACGATGTTATCGACAGGCTCACCACATTAGTGGCCCGATATCTGACTCCAATTAGATCATATGTTGATCGCTATCGAAACATATACATCGCCTATCCTCGCATATAATTATCGACTTAACTCACGTTAGTGAATAGCGGAATTAAAATATATCAGATACGAGAACGGATTTCAAATACGTATATATTGTACAATCATTGATCAAGGCAGACGATCAGAGGGACGAAGCGAAACGAAATGATGCGCAGTGGAGAAGGCATGTGAGCCAACTCCCATCAACCAAGCGTTAATCGATATTTATAGTGACGCAAAAATACGCTACAGACGTGTGATGAGTAGTATAAGCTGTACACACACGATCATATAAAAAGTCAGGGTTGTTAAGTGAATAATTAATAAGGTCAAAACGTGACTCAAGAAGAACGAATAGATCGGCCTGTCCAAGAGCTAGAATAAGCTGTATGGGCTGAACATATCAACGGACACTACAAAATGTGTAATGCAACTCTAATGACAAAAGTAATCTAAATCAACTCCATTTAAAATTTTAAATATGTAAAAGTTGATCTGGATAGTTTACATAGGTTAAAAATAATAAAATTTATAATTCATCGGCTAAAATTAACAGGGTAGGCAGAATACTTTTATTACAAAGCAAATGAATATTCTATACCCTTCAGAATTTCTTTTAACCAAAACTACTTATAAAGACCGGAGATCTTTTAGATGGATCTTTAAAAGTTCCTTGTGTTAGATGATTGAAAGTAGTCGATAAGGCACTCTGAACTTATGGTTCTTGCTAATTTATGTCCAGAGTTTGACAGACAGAATTCAATCAGAACTGAAGGATTTAAAGAGAAACAATGTTCGTTAATACTGCTGAGTGAACAATTATTATCTACAAACATCTCGTCATCCTGCTATCATAACCAAGAAAATTATTGTGATGAATTTTTAGAATTAAGTGTTAAGTGATAAGAAAAGAAGCTATACAGTTCAAACCCTTCTTAATTCCTCAAGATTAGGGTTAATCTATAAATATTGTTAATCTACATTAATTAAAGGCTGAAAACTCATTAGTTGAATTAACCATACATTGTTACAAGAATAAACAATGAGAATAACCTACTTAATCTCTTCATCTTGTTTTATTTCACGTGATTTTAAAATATTTAACCATTCAGTGGAACAATTTAGTTTATTAGTAGAATTTTGTAGTTCAAGTGATAAATCTCTTAGGGTTGTACCAACATCAGCTTGAATTGTTAGATATGGTCTCCAAAAATAGTCAGCATTCTATATTTAAATATTAAAAAATAAAGACGAATATTAAATGGATAAGAGAAAAAAAGAATTATTTATTTATGTCGTTTTACCTGCTGCTAACACATAAAGGTAGACTCGTTGTCTAATACTAACATGGTTTAGACACTAGTACTGAAGTGTGGAGCGGAGGCTTAATGATTAAGGTGTTTGACTTTCCATAAATAAGTCGTACATTTGAACTCCCTAAATTTACTTCAGTTTAGAGGACTGAGTAGTATCTCGTACACTTATACTGTAGTTTGAAGCCATGTACACGAATTTCTACCTGTTAAGTGAGCATTCATTAGACTATAAACTAACAACTTGTACAATTAATTAGATACTATCAAACACTATCCTATAAAACGTTTTAAAGGAATCATGATCGAGATAAGCGGAAATTTCCTAGTTCATGTACGAAAGACTGATAAGAGCTAATATTTCATGAAGTAGGAAGTTTCATGGATGAAATTATTGCAACAAATCATGTGAACTTATATCGAAAAGATCAATAATGCTTCTAATAGACATTTATCTTCAACTGAAAGCCTTTAGGGTCAGTTGTGCCCATATACACCACATTTTTGAATCAATAGACGGTACACAATAGTATTTTAAAAAGTTTAATGATACCTTGTTTTGTCAAGAAATAGTGACACTAACAAATGTAGTGTTTTCGTTAATGTTACTTAACATAATGACGGATAGCAAGCTTTGCATAAGGCACTTAACAGACATTAATAGCTATATTTAGAATAGATCTATAGTAGGAATTTCTCCATAACAGATGAAAAATGGTTATCAGTGGAATCCAAGGTTTTTCAATTGAATGTACCCTCATCCAAGTGTGTTGATGTTTACATAGAAACTTAGACACAATAGGTTTTGTTTCGAATACCCAACGTATTACTTATTGTAATCCAATGGGTTCAGATAGCTACACAAACGTGTTTGATTCGTATGGTACTTCTATCATTAATAGTAAGGGGTTTGAATTTTGACCAATCTTTGTTGAATAATTCAAACTCACTATTAACAATGATTTAGGAAAAGGATTATTACACTATTCGAAAAGTCAAGAAATGAGCAATGTAGATAAAATTGTAAAGGATTCCAAACATTACTGTGTTATAATAAAAGACATAACTTTATTGCCAAAAATATTACCAAAAAAAGAAACAATAAATTTACAAGATATAAGTTCTTCTTATTTCGATTAATTACAACAATCTTCGCTTTTCGATTTAACACACGACCATAATCTAAACGAAAATCACAAATGGCACCTTTGAAACAAACAACAAAAAGAAAACACACAATAGATTGAAGAGAAGAAATGGATACAATACTTTATCAAGTTAGAAGAAACTTAACAAGAAAATGTATATGATGGAGGCAGGTATTTGATAGAACAAGTAAAAGAGAAATCGTTTATCACTGGGAACAGTAGCATTTAAATCTAGAAAGCTAGTCAGATAAATTAACAAGTGTATCAGTTTCTGTAGTCAATGTTAAGTTACATTTTCGTGTGAGGGCCAGTGTAATTACTAACTCGACTATCCAAACTTGTTAAATACGATGTGGAACATTGAGGACTATTCTACGGTCATATATATATATATATATATATATATATATATTCAATACACGTTAAAATATGTGAATCAATAGGAATACCGCTAGTAGAATCAATTCAATATTGCATTCTGCGGCGTTCAATTCAGATAAAAATGCTTCGTACACGCTTGTTTAGCTACCAATTGAGAAACCATTAGGGAGATTTAATTGGCGAAACAAATAAATAGGTACACAAATCATTGGTATACATACATTTGTTCTTCTAGCCCGGTGAAAGACATGTAAGCCAAAGTTATGACTAGGAGCATCGTCGGATTTCTCGATTACAGTTTATCACCACCTACTATTTGAATTTGAGATGGTATTTGATTAAAAGAACGTAATATACCTAGACGCACCCTGCCTACCATTTAGAAAGTCACTGACAACTATACGTCATACAAACGATCCTATCATCCTTGTTCCAAGGTAATTAATTCGACGACATAACATAAGATATCCACGAAGCAACCAATAAACAAACATTCATAGTAACTCAATTCAATAATTAATGCCAAACAATGAATACAAAAAATGTAGATTAGTGATAATATCAAAATTCATAACAATAAATACCTGCGAGAATAATTAGATCAGCTTCACGAAGTGCAGTACGACGGGCATGACGAAATCCAAGTTGGTGATCTCGACCAAGAAGACCACGAGCCATACCTGACATGTAAGTAGGTATCCCCAAGGTCTAAAAAGAAACGACTAAGGTTGAGAAACATCGTGCTGATGAATTTGTCGATAAAAATTACACGGAATGAAAAAAACGTACGTAGTCACACAAAGATGGTAACAAATTGCACTAATCATATTAGATAAGATACATAGATTATATAAGAGCAGATAAAGCATCTTTCAGTGTGATTGGGGCTACGAACAAACAAAATCGTTCATATTTAAGGGAGTCCGTATTTTCCGGTTATTGGTAAAGTCTATCTTGACCAGATTGCCTCGTTAATTTTATTCCGTCACTAGTTTTAGTGAAGTTGAATTATAACAAGTAGTGAAATCCATAAAGCGCGTTTCGATTTATTTGAAACTCGTCAAGTAGATATATACCTGCATCTCAGTGTTGATGCTCACATACAGAGACTCGAACCCAATGCCTAACCCTTCAAACACAAATGTGTTATTGATAACTTTTATTTTTGAATGTCAAATACAACTGAAAGGTAGAAAAAAATGGACGAAGTAATGAATAGAAACAATCACAAAAAAAAACATTAATTTCGACCTCAGAATGTTCGCTACTGATCATTCAATAGTTATAGATAACTGTATATTAGTTACATTACAATAACGTGTTGTGACCTGAACATGTAAACAATGATTAGATTCTTAAAAATCAATTCACTTATGACCATAACGGTGTTTAAGGTAGAAATCACCAAAGCAGTTAAATTGGTGAGATTAAGAAGTTAATAAAAGAATTGACAAAGTAAGGTGCACAAAATCTACACAGAAATACGTATGAAAACGTATTTCTTCTTTACAGTATTTGTGATACGATAATTAAGTCGTTTGAGTAACTGCAATCATTGATGAGCAAGTACTTAGATTGATGGCCCCTGTTAGGGAAGCCCTACTCACTGTATACACGTGGCGGATGACAGAACCAACTCCAAATACGAGACGTGTGCCAAACAACAAAGGAGCCACGCTTGTTGTTCGAAAGCTGGTAATACCAATCAATTTCCTAAGCCAGAGTGAATGAAGAGGGATTGGAAATCGACAACCTAAACGTTGAAAGCTAAGTGCATTACTCCTACCCCCCCCCAACTCCACAAAAACAAAACTTATAATTTTTTGTTAAAAATTGATTGGTCTTAATGAAGTGTAAAGACTATGATATTTAAAGTCTTAATTAATGACTGATATTGCCAAAGTGACTCCATTGAAGAGGCATAAACGGATGAAGTCAGCACATTAAACAGTCTAGTTAAGCATGTTTATGGTGTGGTATGAATTTTTTGAAGGTTCTTTGATTTAGCATCTACCATAGTTAAGTTTCCAAGAATGAGAGGAAGATTCGGTTGATAGAAAACAAAACATGCCATAGCCATTACAATACAAAAACGTCAACAACCCTCAGGAACCTAATGTTCGTTAAGATATCCAAATACCGGCTACAGTGTGCACAATATGGTATTCGAAAAAGGGTGTTTAAAACTTATACATAAACTTAAAATAAGCAAATGCTGAATTTAGATAAATTTACTTGAACATGAACAGCTGTCTCTTCAGCTGAAATCGGAGGTAAAACAGCTTGACTACTGATAAGTAAGATTGGCTTTTCAGAAAGTTTTATCAGCTGAGCTAATTTCTTTACTTGTCTTTTAGATGGAAGCGGAATTTTCGGTGATTTGACAACAATCCCATCTAAACCGTTTGTTTTGGATGGATGTGATTTCGATGAGAAACCATTGGCGAATAAATTGAAAAGATAGAAACGTAGATACCTGAAAAGAACGGAATGGTATAAAAAAGAGTGACAGACAAGTATAAGCTGTGTAGCACTAGATCTTTTAGAAATAGGTGCAGAAAGATTAAAAACAAAATAAGGTACTTATTTTTTGGTAAATTAATGAGTGGTTATCACCCTGTTATTTCATGGTATTTTCCATATATTTATCTTTATGAGCTATCTCTTACGCATCAGTTACTGTTGTAGCCTATACTAGACACAAAGTAATAGTTAATTGACTGTGGACAGGTTAGCCAGTCTTGAAGAAAAGTACTTTGATGTTGTTAAGCTCTTTGAACTACATGACTTATTTGCGAAGCTTTTATTGTTGTTCTAGAGATCATCAGTGCTTAATTTATGTAAAATTGAGACTTGGTGATGCTGTCTAGAATAACAATGAAAGCTTCACTAATCTATATACTTCAGAGAGCTCAACAACACCAAAAACTACTCACGTGAGCTGCAAACTTTCTTCATCAATTCTTAAAAAAAGTATCTTAGTTACAGCACACGACATTGTTGATAGGTACTAAGGAATAAATGGAGATATTTTTATTCTCAACTATCGGAAATCATTAGGAGTAAGCACCAACAATTTTCACAGCACCCATCCTAATTATTTATCATCAGTTTCATTGATAACAAAGAACATTTATATTTACATCCACATTTCATTATGTAACTATTTGTAGTGATTAACTGACAATGAGAATTCACTTTAGTTTTAATATGAATCTTAGTTTTCCAAACGTTATGTGACTAACTGATCATTATTTTGTTAAATTGACTCATCCCTATCTAATTGGTCTCGACTTTCTACTCATTTATAAAGCATGTATATTATTGTAGAGGGTTGATGGAGAAATAATTGAAAAAAATTATTTCTTCGCTCAACTTGTCTTTTTAGTGTCTCAATGGGAATATTTAATGAGCACTAACAATGTCAAAGATCCTATATCTACTTGAAGTGGCATATATTGACGGAGTTTATGGTTGAAGCTGAGAACTATGGTTTATTAAGCAGTTGAAACTGATGATAACTGGGCAGTTGATTGCGCCACAGCATTCGATCGGTGGTACTAAGTATCAATCTTCCTTCGTTTCAATACATAACGAAACTATTTTAGAGTGTTGCTTATCATCACATTATAATACCAACTTTCAATTACTTTTTTGGACATGTATAAACATTTTATTTTTTAACTGTGATGAGTATAGATTTTTTCCCAAAGTATTTCTTAAATAGCTAGTATGTAACTCAAGCATATGTAACAAAATCCACAGTTTGGTCTTCTGGGGGGTACTTAACTGACTTCCATCTAAGAACGAAACACGCTTCAAGTCGTACACCGATTGAGATCAATCCATGACGAATAACAGCCACAACTCTAAAAGAATGCCTACTAAATCCGTTCATGTATATATTTCTCAAATAATTTCGTTCTTGCTTTGTTTAAAATCATGCAGTGGATTAACTGAATGCACAGAAAGCAAAAGTTGTAAGTCTGCTGAGTATGAGAATATTACTAATCTAGACAAATAAACACACTCGAACTATGCAGAAAAAGTGTAATTAAATCTACTTACCAATTTACAATTTTCTGCCTTAAAGAATTTGTTTTGTCAGACAATTTAGTATGCTGTTCAACCAATTTATATGGATATAACAGATCGATCGGAAACTCAACTAAAACTGGTCCTTAATAATTTGAAAAAAAAAATACTATTACCAAAAACATATCGCGGAAATTAGTAAGAAATTCCATGCGATTAGTTCATAAGGCAGATTTAAGCAAAAACAAATAGTCTGAAGAACATATGATTAGTTTAATCTAGTCGCCCCCGCTACATATATGCATATAAGCTAATACATTTTCGTGAATTCGAAACTTAATAACAGACCTTAAAATTAAGGCATGAATGGTCTACCAGTGAAAAAGCAGTTTGAAAGTTAAAATTGTCATGTAATTCAAGCTGAGCAGGCGAGATATCCGTCTATCAACAAAAGGATAAGTATACTGCGCGGCAGTCCGTTCCGTTTTAATTTACGGCGGCGAAACATGGCCATTAAGAGTAGAAGATACTCGTAAGCTACTAGTATTTGACCACAGATGCCTTAAAAATATTACTGGCGTCTGATGGGGTCACTGGGTAAGTAATAGTGAGGTTAGACTCAAGTTATTGGGGAATGATGGTAAATCAGTTGATGAGGTTGTGAATCTTCATCGACTGAGATGGTTGGGTCGTGTTACATGGAAAAAACGTGGACAAAATTCAACAATCATATAATATGGAATTGGTATAAACTAGGGATCATGAATCTTCATCGACTGAGATGGTTGGGCCACGTGTTACGTATGCCTGAACATCGATTACGACAACGCGCAATGCTGACTAGTGTTGGGGATCATTGGAAGGAAGTTAGGGGCGGCCAAACCAAGACTTGGCATCAGTGCTTGAAGTCACTAACTTCTAGTCTGAGCCATGTTGGAAGATGAAGACTACTTGGTTGGGGTCCGCGTGACTATCGTAACCAATCGTTGGAGACTCTTGGAGACATAACTCAGAATCGATTACAATGGCGTCGGTGTATACACTCTCTGTCTTCCCTTAAACTAAGAGATTAAAACAGCTTCATATCTTTCTTTCTACGAACTAATTCTTTCTTCCTGTACTAGATCCTTATTGCAATCTTTCTTTCATATATTACCACCACTGAATTAACTACTTTTATGAATCCGGTGTCCATCTTGTTGTGTTAATGAGGTATGGCAACTTGGACCGGTGCATATATGTGCCTGGTCCTACGTTGTAGCTGACTGACTGAGCAGTTTTCAGAGACTTTACAAGTAATTTGAATGATAGCTTTGAAAATCATAAACCTTAAATCACTATAAGGCGACTAGAAATGTAAATGTCGGTGTGATTTTAACTGGTATCATGTACATATATTTTTTGCAGATTTAAGTTGATATAAAATCAATTTATTTATGATAAAATAGTTATGGATTTTATAGTCTGTAAAGCAATTTCTTCCAATAATACCCTGTATGAAAGGTAAAATACTGTTTGGAGGTTAAAGCAAAACAAGTAATCTCAGGAAACTACCCTTTAATCATTAACTTGGAAGTTTGACCCTTAAAACAGTGAAGCAACGTCAGAAAGTGCAACTTCATGGTAGCTAGGGCTCAAAGTGACGAGAAAAAATAAAGACGTTAGTATACCTGGGTAGACGTGGGTGCTGATAATAGTCAGGCAAATAAGATCATTGTACGTTTAGCGGGAGCAAGAGAAGCTTTTGCCAATCAGCACCATACCTTAAAGACACCTGTTTAGTCACAGAAATACCGGTGCTTAGTGTTGTAATGAGAACAGCTTTTTCTGACTGGGTATGAAAGTAGCTGCATCATAAGACTTAGATGATGAAGTTGAAAAGTTGTGTTCAATATAATAGCACCAAAAAAGCCTGGTATCTCCTCAAAATGAAATCTAATTAAGTTATCTGACAAGCAATACGTATATGTAGATTTATATCCTACTGGATTATAATAGTGACCATAACGGGTAACTTGTGAATCATCCTGTAACTTAACTTTCAACTTAGTTTTATATCTAGCAATAATCTTACTGCCTGAAACTTTGTATACAGCATCAAGTTTAATTAGTTCCAGGAAAAACGAAGAACCTTTTCTAATTCAATAGAATTAGACTGACAATCATAACAAATGCAATAAAAAAATCATCTTCTGTCATCTACAGCCAAAATATTTGCGATGAACAGTAGTTATGTTACTAAATATATTAACCACTGGGAATTGATAAATTTACCGGGAGTATCCGATTGTGCAATATAGAATGCTTCACAAAGAACAGGGATAATCTCTCTGACGTAATCTATACGTCTGCACCATTTACAAATTGGGCGGAACACAGCAAGCTGGTCGATATCTTGAAGTGATCCACGACCACGTAAAAGTCCAGAAGCAGCTCCAGCTAGAAGGACTACAGGAGATTCAGCCATCTGAGCATTCTTCACTGCTGTCACCGTATTAGTAAGACCAGGACCTATGAGTTAGATGAGGAAAATGTTGAACATTTTACTAGACCAACTTTACTACAAAGAGAATCATAAATGTATGACTTGGTGACTTTAAATCTAAAAGTACTTCTTTGTTGGTGCTAGATGTCTAGATATGGAAGCGAAACTGTATAGAACACACTTTCTATACTCAAAATTTACACAAAGCTATCCTACTGCTTAGAAGACTTGTAACTAGGTGATCGATTGCAGACTTGTGTACTTGACTTGGAGCCACAAATACTGTGTACGAGTTGGAGACATTACTAAACTCTCAAAAGTAATGTAGATGGAACGAAGTTATAGTTTGTGAAACAATCAGTGAGATTCAAAAGGTCAGATCATTGATTACTTAACATGAACCTGCTAGGTCATCAATTTTCTATAACCGTGATAGCAGAAATGTTAGCCACTTTACACATTCGGATTAAAAATCATACTTATGGTATTAAGGTTACTGATGAACTATAATTGAGAAAACTAGACTGGAGTAGACATTGACAAAATAAATGAAAACCTAAACTACTTAGCAACATACTGAATAGTTTGGTGATTGGAGTAAACAATTTACACCTCATACCCTACATCTCCAAGTACATTGGGTACCTTGCAAAAGGCCAATGACAAACACTAGCTATAAAAGTTTTTTACCAGAACGTTCAGTTGATTTAATTGAGGGAATTTTTAAAGATTGCTGATGGTGGTTGATTGAGGTAGCTGATCGTCCCAGTGTAGAGAAAGTACATTCACTTGTGATAACCGCAAATTGATCAGTATGACTAGGATAGCGAAATCTATTAGCTTCTGTAATCATTTGCTGCTCAGAAATAGAAAATTTGATAAAACCAGGCATACTTAAAACCTCACCGAGAAAATATAAATCAAATACTTCTGAACTAAAAGACATTTTATAATAATCATTAACTCTTGTATCAAGGAATTATTTCAACTAACTTGAGGCTTCTTACTTAAACACAAGTGATCAAATGACAGCTAGTGGGAAAGTGCAATTGGAATCGAATGCACTAAGTGTTTTATATTGGAGACGCTAACTTTGTTCGGTCTTGTAAAAGATAGTTTTGAGTTATTGGTGATTAATCGATCATGATACTCATTTCTCATATAAACTTTACAGATAAAATAGTTATGTTTGGTGAATTCACTAAAAAAATTCGATGACGAAGTCCGGGACGGAATTTTCTTTCTACAAGCGTCAAACGTTATTTAAAGGCTGTTTTTCATTAGTGCAGCCTTACAATGAAGGGTTAGCTAGTCAGACATGTTGAAGATATCACTTATATTTATAGTCTCCCTGAGTTGAGTGGGTTGGTGACTGGTTAAATTTCAGAATAAGTAGAGTTAGTTCTGTTTTTCCTCAGCTCGCTGCAAGTATGTCTGCCTGAGACAGATTATAAGTAATTTCGACTGCCTACTGCGGCTTTGAAAATTATGTGCAAATTTATTAGAGCTATTTTCCGCGCTTATTTAGGTAATTTCTAAAAAAACACAAAACTCAAGTGTAAAGAGATATGTGCTGTCAGGTCGCTGCATGTTAGTGTAATCCGAGTGCTGTTTTAAGCAGTAACGAAGCGAAAGGAAATGGCATTTGAATAAAAACTTACCTGCTGTAACAACAGCTACACCAACGGAACCAGAAAGTCTTGAAACAGCATCAGCAGCAAAGACAGCAGAAGCTTCGTTTCTTACATCTATCACACGTATATTTTCTTTTTCTGAAGCAACCAATATCGGTGATATGTGGCCTCCAGTAAGCGTAAAAATAAATGGTACATTATGCGCCTACAAATATATCAATAGTGTTATGTTACCTTCAGGACATCTGCAACCAGCTCGCCCCCATAGTGTCCTGAGCTTTTATCGATCTATCAGTAAAAAATTGCTACCAACAAAAAAACTTACTTCGAAACGAAAGTGCCTGCGCAAGCCTTTAAATATAAAAAACAGTCCGAAAACTATGAGCGATCCAGTTGCTAAGAATGACATAGTGATACGATATCTGAAAAGCAAGAGAATTTAAACTATCTTTCAGGTGTTTGAAAACATGAAGGTACATATTAACAGCTCCAATTCCAAAATAAACGTAAATTAACTGGAAAAACATGAAGTATATAATTTCGTCAGGCCAAGCCAAAAGCGAAGAGCTTACTGAATTATTTTATCAAAATGTACACTAAAGTTCTGACTACCTGCATAGCATCACTAAAATTATACCCAAACACTTTTGCTTCGATATAAAAGACATTCCACAGGCATAGTGAAATTTAAGTGGTCAACAAACAAAAAAGTAGGCGGGGCAGTTTGGATGGAAGTCTGTGAAATGTGATGTACCGTAAGGTGCACATTCGTGTTCTTAGGTAATGTAAAGGTTTTTTAAAATAAATGGCAATCCAAGTGAGTTTGAGCTTTAAGGTGATTTAGATGAATGGATAGACCAATAGTTGACAGATTAAAATAATCATAACAAGATTTCAGTAATGCATAACGAACAGCAGTTCATCGTTAGTGAATTATTATCATGATGTCGAACTGTAATACTCGTGAATAACTAATGCATGACCTGGAAACAAATATACACTACTATGCTGCAGCTAAGAAGTTGAATGTTGAGGTCACTTCGATTTCGTAACTTTAAGCCCCGAATATGTGTGACATCAACAAGTGTTGCAGGCGAGTAGCTAGCCAATGTATCTCTAAAGACCTTAATATTATAAAGCGTCTCCAAAGAGTTGGTTACTGGACTTTCCAACCTCTCTAAGGAGTTTATGTTCGAAGTTTCTAAAACTCACTACAAGAATATAAAACTAGGACCAGCGAAAACGGGCTTTAAAAAAGCCAGGGAAGTCATTATCACCGCTACAAAGACCTCGAATGAACGTAGATACACAACCTATCAAATTATCGTGGTGCTAGGAGTATATATATATATACATGGAAAGCCAGTACATTATAAGCTAAATATGAAGTATCTGGACGAACCAAACTAGCTGTTAGTTCATGACGAAAACCCTAGTAATGCATACGTACGTTCGCTATTCACTAAGAAGCTGTCTATCAATAGCAACTAAACAGTGTCAGTTCATTGACTAAAAACCCAAGCAAACCAAGGAGTGGGAGCGCGCCAAAAGTCGACTTTGACGCCTACCGTGAAAAAATGGTGAGGATTCTCCATTCTTTGTCACACTAAGAATGGGACTGCAATTTATAAACCTTTTAAGGACGCTAGTGACCTTGAGAAAATAAGCATACTTATGAGGATCGAAAGAGGGTCACATATTATTATGAGAAACTAGATTATGAAGAAACAGGACCATAATTCAAAGTTATGAATGAAACTGAAAATTTTCATCAAGAACTGACATCAGCTATAGTTTCAAAATTTTATTTAATTATACAGTTGACCAAAATTCGCGCCTAAGTCCAAGACACGCTATACTTAATTCCATTGGTTCGTCCATGAATCATGGTACCGACTATCCATGAATAAGCCCGCTGGCTGAAGGTCGAAAGTTTGAAGTCCTAATATTGTACTTAAACAACGGTTATATTCAACAAACATTTTAATATCAACATGATCGAAAGTGTGGGACGTAATAGTCATCTCACTTTATGGGTTTGTTTTATGTCTTCTTATGTGAAACTGTTACGATTCCCTCTCAGACATGTACCAAGTTTTCGATTCATATTTATGTGTCAAAGATGGAAGATGAACAGTCTTTGTTGTTTCCTTTCTATCGAGCTTTTTTGTTTCCATTTAAATCTTAAAAACACACTTTTCATGTACTACAAACTGTCCTGAGCCTGATGTGAGGTCCAAAACCAAATTGGATCACCTCTCAGTCTGAGGGAAAACAGAGTAAGGAGGTCTGGTTTCTTGAACCGCATTATAGATAGCAGGGCACAGAACTCTACAAATGCACAGGAAACAGTCCCCTATACCCTTCTCGAGGTATCCTTTCCATCAGTGAAAACAGGATTTTGTGGCCTTATTTTATATCCCACTGGGGCTGTGTGTATTTTGATTAGCGTATTTATTTCGAGGATGTAATAATCGTCTTAGTACGCACAAGTTTTTGAACCATTCATCCGAAACCGCACGGCAGTGAGTTTTACCGCGCTATTGCCTCAAGATCAATGGGAGGTAAGACAAGAGGGGCTAACACAGCTCTAGCGCTGCAGTTATTTACAGTCGCGAGTCCTATACTCACGAAGATACGCCTGACCACATTGGTAATCATCAGCTCATCGATCTAATGAGTAGTTATTGAAGCTTTTAAACACCCGTCAAGACACAAGAGATCGATAGTCCCTTTTATTTCACTGAGAAGAGAAAGAGGAGTCTTAAATAGTCAGGAATATAATTCCTTCGTAGCCCCTAAGGAATGTGAAAGCATTAAAATAAAGTCTATTAATAAATTACCGTGAGATAGCATCCAGAGTGTTTTCCTTACGTACTTCTTGCAGCAACCTCATTATCAGACCTTACTTCGAAAGGACTTAGCAAGGTTAACTTTACTATCAACTATTGTATGGAACTTCACAGATTTTGATGAATAAAATATCTTCTCTCCTTTTAGTGGATTCTCTTACGCATTAAAAGTTGGAGTGATCAACCTATCATCTTTTTGCATACCGATACGATTGTAAATTTTCTTTGTCAGAAGGGCTTTTATATATACTCTGTTTTCCATTCACTTAAATGGAGTAATATTCACTAGGTCATAATGCCTTTCAAAGTTAGTTCTAATACCATCGTAGTCAATTTTGTTGTCGATTTTTATGCGTTTCCTGAGACCGGTGATTAAATCTTGCGACGACACTGTCCTTCGAATGTACCCCGACATGTAAGTGCTTTATTTTGACTAATAAAAAAGCTCTGTTAATTGATAATTCTTTGTGTCTAAGATCAACCAGGTTAACTGGGATTGGTCTTGGCGACGCGTTCCTCAGAAGTCAATCAAGATAGTGTATGAGAAAAAGAACAGTATGCGTTTAACCATCTGTTTAGGGTTTATCTGCACTTACTTCTTTATTTGGGCAGTCCTAGTTTACAAGTAAACACCAACTCAAACGACAATCGAGATGATCGGTTGGTTGCAGGCGAGCTTTCCCATTCATTTGTGCTAAATTGTATAGTAACGACTTTTTAGTTCAAATAAAATGTTACCAATAGGTTATTTGCCAACTTTTATCATCCGCAAGAAACTCAACTAGTTTGAAGAAGCGACAACATTCCCTTCAAGGTATTTGCTTTAGGGATATAATTATAGGTAGTTTTTAACTTTATTTTCGGTTTCGGTGACTTGTATGCGTAAGATCTGTAAGAGTTTATCTCGTTTATGAAGACGAAATATCTTTTCTAACGAGACGCGTTAGCTTATTTCGATAACAGACCTCATCAATACTGTAGTGAACTTCAATATGTCAAACAGGACACTTAATTCGAATTGGCCTAGACTACTAAGAAGACACAAGCGGAGACGCGAATTGGAAGTACAGAGTACCAAATTGTGTCGCAGCTGTTATGGCAGGCTTAGACACAGCAAAATTTTTAATTGTACAATTAATGTATCGGTTATACAGCACACCTACTGTAACGACCGAATTACCAATATTCATTTTGAACGCAGAACTAACGAACCAAAGTAAATTAGGTCAAACTATTTTCTTCTGCGATGTGTATGAAGCGCTTTTGAGCGACTCGTATTTAATCGAATCAAAACCCAAACTCTGTGTTAAATTTAAACAGATGTAATTTAAGAAAGAGAATAAGTTATATAAAAAGCAACGAAGACATCAGACGGTACAGCCTGTGCTATAAAGTCAAAGGTTTGTTGAGCACAAAATAAGATGCTAATCAAGAAGAGGAATAGTTAATAAACAAGGATTCAATAACTGCGAATCCACAAAAATATCCCCAACATGATATGATCAGATGTGTATCTGCATAGATTTCAGCAACCTTTACAAGCAAAAAAAGTTTAACGGTCATACACTGATCTCGAGTTTAGTCAAATGCAACCATATTGTCAGTGGTCCGGAAATGTGAAACAGTAGGTTAAGTAATAAAACGTAAATCTTAAACCAAAATCAAGTAACAAAAGCCACAACAAGGGAGACAAAGAACATAAAGTGTGGACAAAGGCTCAAATACAAGACAGGGAGAAGAAACAAAGAAATGACAATACTGTCTAATAATATGCTGTGGAAGGGTAGTTAGCGTGTTTTTAATACACATACCGCCCATTGGGTTTTTGACAGTGTCAATAATGTTGTCTTTATTCATTTAGGACTCTGTGACATTTTAATCGCTCAACATTCTGATTTTAAATCTCTTGATCTCTGTGAAATTCACGGTTGTCTAAAGTCATTAATAATATATGAATCGTAAGAATTAAAACTGGGAATATCTATCTATAGTTCAGAATTCTCTATAGATGCAGGATTATTTAGAGAATAATCAGAATTATAATTGGAATCACCCACTTCATTAACCATCACTTCATTTTAATGTCCGCTGTGAACTGAATGCTGTTTCAAATGAAAAATCTTTTCTACTGGACTTACTGTTCCCTTAATTATAATATCCGTAAACAGTTGTAAGTCGTTACTTCTGGTGGTGTTTTATTCGCTAAATGAATTCGAAATATGTAAGAAGTAAGGTGTTTAGCTGGATTGTGGTGCGTTTTAGAGTGTTCTTCATTATGACGTATTTGCTTAACCTTTTCGTGGGCACAGTCTCTGGCTATTTAGAATATAGATCAATAATAACTGTATAACGTAACAAATTAAAAAATGATCATAGGAGTTGACATGAATACGTTCCCACGATTCATAAGGCGCAGGCCGACGGTAGTCTTTGTGTGCACAAGGAAGAGTGTTTCGATTTTTGATGTATAAAGCAGCGAACTCAAGCCGCCAGCAAGCCTGATGAGCACTGAATTTCATGTTTTATGCACTTAGAGAGGCGTAGCAAAGTTTTTCTACCACAGCAAATCTCAGGGTTAAGGAATCACCATTTACAAGAAATATGATGCTTCATAGTGAGTGCCGAGATTCTTCAGAAATCCTGAATCATATGCCACTTCTGACAACCACAACAATAGTTAATATAGGCACATGGAGTTTCCGGACATTGTGAAAGGTCGGGACGACCAGTCAAACAGCTATAGAAATGAGAACATACAACTTGGTCGTGATCGGAATAAGAGAAACCCATTGGAACTGTAGTGGCATTGGACCATAACCACACAATCCTCAAAGCTGAATACGAGATTAATCGGAAAATAGATATTCAATATTTAACGCGGAGAAACACCTAACGATGAACAAGGCGCGAACAATGAATTGAATGGACTGGAGTTGATCGGATGGCATGGCTCGGCCATGCAGGCGTGGTCCATCTGAATGTTACCTTATATCTTCTATTCATATTAAAAATATTGTTCTTTCTCTAGCTTAAGCTTGTTCTCCATCATGTATTGGTAATTGATACGATACAGTGAGTTGGTTTAGTCGATGGTGTGACTTCCACATAAGATCTTATAGATTAGGCAGTTATATCATAACGAATCTACAATTTTAGGATTAGGTCTATTATTAGAGCAGTACTAATATCATGGTAGGCCATAATTCTACAGACCCAAGCTGAACAACAAAGGTTAGATTTGGGAGAGATGCTGTTGTACTCCAGTCATAGAGAAGAACATGCTCCACACACTGAGAAAAATGTTCGGATGTTGTCCAAAATATCCTGAATAGCACTCATAGGACGGGAATCTCATGGACCCAGAATCATCACAATGAATTTTATCCGATTTTCTGCACCCACTAGTGATAGCAATAACGACAACAAAAATCAGCTTTACTAGAGGTTGTATTCGGTTAAAGTGAAGCGTCCAGGAAACGATCTTCATGGTAAACCTGAACGCCAAAATGGACAACACCGGGTATCAAGATATCATGGAATGAGATGGACCGGGAGAGAGAATCTAAAATGGAAAGAGAGATTTGCAAATCTATGTGCACTCAACAAAGTGGTTATAGGCGGTACAATATTTTCACATAAATGAATACACAAAGCTACATTCATCTTACTGGACGACACCACAGAGTGCCAGATCGATCATATTTACATCACTAAAATATTCATAAGGTCAATGGAAGACTTAGGAACCAGAAAAGGAGCTAGTATGACTTCAGGTCACCCCCTGGTTGTGGCCAGGCCGAAAGTGTGGCTAAAGAAGCACTGGACAACTGGATAAACAGGATTACAAAGGTTGATTACTCATACAGTTCTTACCATCATATCAACAATAACGGCCTATAAAGCTGCAAGAGAAGGAAGCGTGAAACAACTTTATGATACAACGAAGGCAACGACAAGGAAATATTTTAAAGCTGGATGATCAGTCAAGAACAAAGGAAGCAACTCAATTTCTGCGATTCAAGAATACGAAACAGGTGTGCAGGACGACTTATAGAACTCTTGAATAGACAGGAACA